TGAAATCATTACCACCTCTTCCGAAAAAATGATAGATTTAGTCAGCCAGAAAAAAAAAATTGGATCCAACACCACATCAGGGATTTATGATATAAAACACCTGCAATGTTAGAGAATCCACATAGGGGAAACATCTAGAAATTTAAAATCCCGCATCTGCCAACGTGAGAGAAGTCTAGGCTGGAAAAATGCTTTGAAACATTTCGCAATACACAGAAACAGCACAGGCCATAAATTCGATTAAATAAATGCCCTCTAAATTAGAAAAGAACATTATTACGTAGGAAATACTTAGAAGAAACCCTAATAAATATTCTCGATCAATAAATAGCCGTTAAACATACTTTATGAGGTGTGAGTTCAATACCCGGTAAAGGCAATGGAGAACTTTCAGAGGGAAATTAACAGGAGATAACTGATAACTGACATCCATTAAACATGGCACGTGGAACTAGAACACTCTACCCCAGTGAGCGAAATAAAGGGCTCAGTTCGAAATTCCAACCACCTGAAGAAGGCCGGAGCGTACAACGGCCGAAATGTCGTAATAAATATGGCGACAAAGATGAGGACAATAGTCCGAATAATGTAAATAGTGTATATTTCTTTTATTTATACATGGATATCTACCCGTCTATAAGTCGAGTTCGTAATACCGTATTTTTCGAAACGATATTGCTCGAGGTTTTTACAGTTACTAACTCATATCAACGCGCAAACTGTTTGCTTTCATCTTCATGAGTTTTAGATGAAGTTTTGTCAACAATTATTAATTTTTAAATTCATTTACGTTTTTATTAGATGAAGCATTGTTAGACATTATTAATAAGTATTGGTTAATATTTACTTTCATCTTGACAGATGAAGTATTGGCAAAGATTATCATTGATTTTTGTCTAGTATTTACATTAATCTTACTTATTATAAAACGCAGATTGTGTGTGTGTGTGTGTGTGCGTGTGTGTGTGTGTGCGTGTTTGTGTGTGTGTCTGTTCGTTTATATATTGGATCGGATTTCCTACATTTTTCAACCGATTTCAACAAAACTTCACACGACTGCGTAAAATTACCTTGCGGTGGTTCTAACAGCGCCAAAAATTGAAAAAACACATTTGTTTTTGCACGAAATCAATTTGAAAACACGATTCTGCCGCCAGAATGAAAGGGAGACAACTCATATCGAGTTATACTTATTATAAAACCCAGGTTGTGTGTGTGTGTGTGTGTGTTTGTGTTTGTGTGTGTGTGTGTGTGTGTGTGTGTGTTCGTTTATATATGGGATCGGATTTCCTACATTTTTCAACCGATATCAACAAAACTTCACTTTTTTGGCAGGTAGTGTTTCTTATTGTCTTGCACACTTTTTACTTTATTTTTACATTCAGAATGCTTTAAAAATTCCATTTACATGACAATTGTTTATAATAAAATTCTATTCAATCGGTAGACTCATAACGATTGAAAACAATGTTTTTGTTTGAGTTTGGGTTTGACCAATTCGTAAAAAAAACAGAAAACAAAAAACAACAATTAATTAAGACATCTGCCTCCGTCAACCTTAAACAATAATCTTTGTCAATTTTATTTTTCAGTCTTTATGATGGTCGATACTTGATCTATCTCTTACTGTTACATCCCCGGGCAACGCCGGGCTCTACAGGTAGTTGTCTAATAAGAATGGCAATAGGAAAAGCATATTAGTTTTTTGCCGACGCGTTTCGTCTTCCGACGTTATCAAGGCAAAATCGAAGCGAAATTCTTTTGCTTTCGTAGTTACATTAAAACCAAAATTTAAAAAGAAAGGGAAGCTTTTGCCTCCCTCTGTTTTTGAAATTTTATTTTTTTCTTATCCCAATTTGACTTATTCACAAAATTATTCTGGGAAATTTAATATCCGTCTATATTTATGAGATGCGGCATTGTAATTATTTACAATATTTATATTATCCGGACTGTTGTCCTCTTCTTCAGTGCCATATTCACGACGTTTCGGCCGTTGTACGCTCTGGCTTTCTTCAGTGTCTGTATATATTTCTGAGATGAGGTATTGTAATGATTTACATTATTCGAACTGTTTTCCTTATCTTCTTTGCCATATTCACGACGTTTCGGCCGTTGTACGCTCCGGCCTTCTTCAGGGATTTTCTATATTTCTGAGATGAGGTATTTCAATGATTACATTATTTATATTGTTCGAACTGTTGTCTTCATCTTCGTTGTCATATTCACGTGGTTTCGGCTGTTATACGCTCCGGCCTTCTTCAGGGTCTGGCTATATTTTTGAGATGAGGTATTTCAATGATTTACATTGTTTACATTGTTCGGACTGTTGTCTTCATCTTCGTTGTCATATTCACGAGGTTTCGGCCGTTATACGCTCCGGCCTTCTTCAGAGTCTATCTATATTTCTGAGATGAGTTATTGTAATTATTTCCGCTATTAACATTGTTCGGGCGGTAGTCTTCATCTTCGTTGCCACATTCACGACGTTTCGGCCGTT